GGGTAAATATACTTAGACATATGTCAGTGTTGTGGTGTTCAGGTGTTTATAGCAGAGAGATGGCATGGGAGAAAAAACTGTGTCTAGTTGTTTTGTCATGCAATGCCCTATAGTGGCGTCCTGGGGGGGGAGGAATTGAAATAGTTTATGTCCAGGATATGAAGGGCCTATAGATATTTTCTCAGCCCTCTTTCTTACTCGCACAATACACAGGTCTTTGATGGAAAGCAGGCTGGTTGCAACTGTTTTTTCTGCAGTCCTAATTATCCGTTGAAGTCTGTACCTGTCCTGTTTGGCTGCTGTACAAAACCAGACTAGTTATACATTTACAAATGACAGACTCAACAATCCCTCTGTAGAACTGTAACCTTGGGCAGCCTGAACTTTAATTAAACCTTAAAAGGGAGGACAGGCAGCTGACAATGTCGCCAAGACATCTTGATAAATCCAGCAGGAGGTGCTAGAAGAGAGCCTAATGATAATTGGTCCAAATATCCCGTTATTGGAACTGAAATGTTCTGTTCCTCTTTGGCTGTAATAACAGAGTTGGAAGGGACCTTGAAGGTCTTCTAGTCGAGCCTCCTGCTTAAGCAGGAAACTCTATAGCATTCTGGACAAATGGCTGTCCAATCTCTTCTTTAAAACCTCCAGTGATGGAGCACCCACAACTTCTGAAGGCGAAGCCGTTCCACTGGTTGATTGTCCTCACTGTCAGGAAATGTCTCCGTAGTTCTAGGGGTTCTTTCAGTCCCTCCCGTGGCTCATGTTGAACTAGAACTTAAATGCAAATGAAGTTGCCTTGTCAACTTCATGTCCAAAGGGAGACTAGAACTCACCGTCTCCTGGTTTCTATCCCGGTGCCTTCACCACGACCCCAAACTGGCTGTCTACCTCTTCATTAAGTAAATGCAATGAGACGGCATTCCACCCAATTGCCCAACCACCCATTTTACGGCCTTTCTTGCGGCATTTGCTAAGCGGATCATTGTCAGCAATGTGGTTCTTAAGTGAATCTATCTGCCCCATGGATTTCGCTCATCGGAGGGTTGCACAAGGGGATTGCAACGACCCCAGGACCCTGCAAACATCATAAATATGAGTCGGGGGGCCAAGCATTTGAATTTTGATCCTGTGACCATGGAAGTGAAAAACGGTCCTTTGTCTGGTGCCATTGTAACTTCAAACGGTCACTCAATGAACTGTTGTAGGTTGAGGACTGTCTAACCAACTGCACGACCACCAGTGGTGGTATTCAAATTTCTTTATATCTGTAAGCGTGGCTTGGTGGGCGTGGCAGGGGAAGGATACTGCAAAATCTCCATTCCCTCCCCACCTCACTCACCTGCTTTCCAGCTCCATTTGTCATGTTAATGGAATCATTAAAAAAAGGTTGTGAGGATACAACAAAAGGGTTTAGCAGAAGCAACGGAGGAATATAAAAAACAGGCAGACAAACATAGATCTCTCCAACCACCTTTTAAAGTGGGGGACAATGTGTTTTTGTCAACTAAATATCTTTAGTTGAAGCCTGCTATAAAATTCCTGGGCCACTTCCCTATATCAAAAGTAATCAATCCAGTGACTGTCCAACTTAGCCTCCCTTGGCTATTAGGGAAAATACACCCAGTATTCCATAATAACTCGTTGAAGCCTGCTATTGGTTCCAATCTATAACCTGTATTGGCAGCTCCCCACAAACCTCTGGTAGTACAGGGTGAAACTCATTATGAGATAAAGAAAATTCTCGATTCTCGATTAAATCGAGGACAATTACAATCCTGTGCAACAAAAGAAGACCCAGCCGATCAGCTGGGACTCAGGAGGCAGCGAATAGATGGGGGCAGGGCCAACCAGAGGTGGCATTTACCGGTTCTCCAAACTACTCAAAATTTCCGCTACCAGTTCTCCAGAACCTGTCAGAACTGGTTGAATACTACCTCTGACCACCACCACTTACCCAAGTGTACCAGGGCTTCTTTGTCCCAAGGAAAGGTGGCCATGCCAGCCAGCTCTTCTTCAGAAGAATTGGCGAAGAAGATGTTGAGGTGTGTGGAGCCATTCAGGTTGAGCTTGTTCTTCAGTTCCTTGACATCTAAGTAGGCCCTGAAACAAGCATAAGAAAGACTGGTTAGCAGGCTCATCTTGCTCGCCCTCATACCTGTGTCAGGTATATCTAACGTACCTCGACTTCTGAGTGGCTGTTGGAACTCTTTGTCTTTGCCCCATCCAATCTATCTTTAGAGGATGAGTCCAGGTTTTCAAGACATCCATTTGTCCAGGAGGGTTTAAGTTCTCCTGCCTTGGTCAAGGGGTTGGAGTAGAAGACTGGCTATATGTATGTCAATTTCGGGCTTGACACAAGATCCCTTCCAGCCCGAGGATTGTATATTTCTATGTGGACTGCCTATCTTTCCAGAGAACCCGTTCCAGGGTTCAAATCAGCCCGCTGCAAGAAGTACCGCCCTTCAAATTCTTCACCCGAATAAACAAGGAACATCTACAGCCTGACGCAATGGCTCTTTTTGCCTTCCATTAAACACCCATTTTGGGCAGAACGTCTTATGGGAAGTGAGTGTATCAAGAAAAAATGCTTTTGTGACATACAATCCTGAAACATTCCTGGAGCTGCTGGTGTACTGGATCCATCCTGGGACAACGGTGGAGAGGTTTTTCCTAACATCTGCCGCTTACTCACAGGTTAACAACGAGCTGCCATGAGGAAGAACTCTCGAGTTGCTCTTCTCGTATTACTTTATTGCTAACATAGGGGTGGGGAAAACACCTGCATCTGAACGCCCTTCCTGTAACCAGGGTTCAGCGCTGACTGTTTAAAAAATAAAGAAAACCCAGCAGGCTGCAGTTGCTACGTTCATTTCTCCCACCTCCTTGTTCAAAAGAACTTCCTAAAATGGGTGAGGACCACTAACCAGTGGAAACCTGTCTCCAGAAGTTGTGGGTGCTCAAGAAGAGACTGGACAGCCACCTGTCTGAAATAGCCATAGCGCTTCGACTTATATACCGCTTCACAGTGCTTTTACAGCCCCCGCCATGGTGCAGGAGGCCAACTAGGCCACGCCCACCCAGCAACTGGGCAGAGAACCTGTTGCTAAAATTTTTGAAGCCTACCCCTGCAATGAATACTTTACAGCCCTGTCTAAGCAGTTGATAGAGTCAGCCCGTGGCCCCCAACAATCTGGCTCGTTTTACTGCCTTCTGCTGAGTCAGACCTTTGTTCTGTCTAAGCCAGTCTTGGTAACTCAACAAAGTCTTGAGCAAGAATTGTCCAATCTGAACTCAGGCCCTTCGGTATGCAAAGTAGATGCTCAGTCATTGAGTTACACTCCCTCACCTTATAGTCATAACAAGTCACCTTAGAAGCAAATCACTAGTTTATACACCACTGGTCTCCAACGTTTGAGGGAGTCATCTTCTTCCATCCAATTTGTTAGATACCAAAGACTGAGACAAGGTTCAAAAGATGATGTCACTGCACCACAACTCCTTCCTTTAAAGTCCCGTATCTTACAGTTTCTTGGGTTTCTGCTGATCTCCATCCCTGCCCTGGCACACAATGCTATGAAGTCTTCAACCATTTCTCCCTGCTGACCAGCATGAAGGTTCCCATGGATTTTGGTAGCGTAGAATTTTGCAAATTTTTGGAAGGAGGGAAACCAAAGAAACAAATTCAGTTACTTTCCATTCAATGCTTGACATTACTCTACTGGACAGAAGAGAGAGAGAGGTCTAGAAATCCAGGTGTGATCCATCCGGATATAATTTCAAAATGGATGCCACCTGTTGTGGTTTGCTGTCAGCCTGTGGAGACAGCAGCAGAGTCAGGCAGCGGGGAAGAATGGGGATCAGTCAGGGAATCTGGGGAGGACTCAGACGAGGGTCCTGCATCCGATGCAAAGATGGGGCCAGGACCATCTGGGAGTGGGGTGCTGATTTCGGAGCCTCCAGAATCTGGCAGCAGCGAGGCAGAGGAACAAGGGGAGCCTGTTCCCAGTGCATCTATGCGCAGAGCTGCCAGAAGGCAAGAGAAGCCGAAACAAAAGGGGCAACTCAGGAGTAAGGCTGGGAGGTGATTGGCCCTCCCCTAAGTTATAAAAAGACAGGCAAAGGTGAAGAAACCTTTGCAGGAAGCAAAGTCATTTGTTCTGTTCAGATTAAATCCTGAAGTTGTGTGGATTTTGTACTTTGGTTGGTTTTTTTATATTTAATTTGACACTTTAGTTGTTGGCAGAAATTCAAAGGAAAGAAAGGTGGGTGTTTATCTCGAGGGACTATTTGGGACTCATTACTGGCTGGGAATGAACATAATTCCCAGCATTGGAATAAAACAAGAGTTGTTTTAACTAAGCGTGTTACGGTCTCGGGGAGCCTTGGTCAGAACAGCCACCTTACAATACTTTGATCCAACATGCTGTTGGAATCCCTAATGCCAGGTTGGAATTTCATAGAGAATGGATTTTTATCCGACCCTGTAGGTCTTATTTGAATGAGATGTAGGAGAAGAGAGGCGAGAGCCTTGAGGGATGGAGTCAAGTGGGGAATCAGTCTGGAATCCTTACATTCTCACAAATGGTTTGAGTCCGACCCTTCTTGAATTCTGTAGCACCAGTTTAGTCCTGGACATTGGTCGACTAGATTCTTGTGTATACGCATGAGCAATAAATCAGCTTCTGTGGAGCTGAAACCCTAATTTATCATGCCTGACGTGAGACTCGGTGTGCAATTGAGGGATGGTAGAGGAAGGACTAGGGGCCTAGAAAAAAAGGAAGGAGACCTAGTACAGTCTTTTCCATAGAGGATAACCAGGTTATGTGGGCTGTTCAACGTGGAACATTTCCAAGCCAATCTGCTCCATTGTTCTGCTATGCTAGGTTCGTAGAATTCTTTTTCTGGAATTCCATCCCCAAGGAGGAAACGAGAAGCTACAAGAGCTGGCAAGGCACCAAAGGTTTTCAGTCCTCCCCCAAGGACTCTCCAAGAAAGCG